TTTTGGTGGTCTGGATGAAATTGGCTCATCAAAACATGAAGGGTAGCATCATGTGGGGGGGGGGAGGTCAGCTTTCTAGAGGATCCCCTGCCTCTGTGGGCTTTGAGCACTTTGGACATTTGGTATGGCATAGGTCCCTTTCACAGAACACTCCTTTCACTTTTGATCCATTGTCTGAAATGCACCGGTTAAACAAAGAATAGACTTTTAGGGAGTTTCAGTGTAAAATATGTAGGACTGGGTCCCTCTAATCCTACACTAAAATTCCTTTGGCCTAACTTATGCAATCAACATTTATGTTACAATGTTATAGTGCTTTTCACTCTGCCTTAATGCATACAGTATGTGTTTGTGGAAAATGCATTTGAGGTAAAATTTATCTGTGCACAAAAGGTTGGCTCAAAAGGCTGACCCAAAAAGGGTTGCTTAGACATTTCCAGAAAGACTACAAGTTTGGGGTGAAGCAGGAGTTTGGTGGAATCGGTGCCTTGCTCTTGTCTCCTCTACACAGGAGAGAACAGTACCTTCGTAGGGACGCCAGCCTCCAGGTGGGACCTGGGGATCCCCAGAATTACAGAGATTAGTTCCCCCAGAGAAAATGGATGTGTTGGAGAGTGGACTTTATGGCATTGCACCTCACTAAGGTCTCTGTCCTCCCCAGGCTCCATCCCCAAATCTCCAGGAGTTTCCCAATCTGAATCTGGCAACCCTGCTTCAAGGAGCAATCCTACAACACATCTATTTGGAAGTAAGCCCCATGCCATTCAATGGGGCTTACTCGTAGGAAAGTATCCTTAGGATAATAGCCTCTATCTTTTCCTTTTGTGCAAATCCAATCCATTTAAAGATGGTTACATAGAAGGGCCCCATGAACTGCAGCTAGAAAAGGAATCTCTGACAACGTCACGCAATCTATTTCTTGTGAACCAATATTAAATTTTATACATCTTGAGCCAGCCGGTTCATCCAGACCCCCACTTCATAGTCATTGTGATACACTGAAAAATAAGAGTACCTGTTTAAATGTGATAAAAATCCAGATGACATGAAGTACATTTTCTCGTTTTAGAAAAAGCACAAGCTAACAGAACTTTTACAAAGTTTAAAAATGCCTATTGAAATTCAAATGACTTTTTGACAGTATATTTTGCACAAACAAGGGGTGGAGGTGGTGCTAGCAAAGATAAAGTATGGATAAACATGACCATTTGGATTTGAGGGGGTTTTGCAACCAGAAATTATTGGGAAACTGATATTTTAAATATGTCACATCCTACATTTTTCTTAGAAATGAGGAAGTAAATAATCTTTGTTTCTGTCACAGAAGCAGCTAGAGTGCATCTCCTTTATCACATGCAAACAAAAGACTGAAAATCTGCCCAAATTGTGTTTTTCTTTCCTCTACAGCACTACAGTTTTCTCTTCAGCCCACAATATGAATGCAACATGCCAGAGCCCATTATACATCTTCAGTAAGTGTTCTGTGTGCTGGTGGTGTTACCAGTTAGGGTTTTATGTCATGACAGAATGTTTTACCCAAAAGCCTTTTAACTCTATTACTGCATGTTACAATAGTGGTGCAAATAAGCAGCCTATTCTGGAAATGACCAAACAGGTAATTCTAAGGTTTTTTTAATGCATGTCAGTAGATGGCAAATGCATAAAGGCCCGAGCACTGCTGACACACCTGCTTCTGGATAATATTCCAGACTACTTTCTTGGGACCAGAAGACATTTCACAAAATGTTCTTTTACCTCCAAGTTCTGACACATTTCAATAAACCCTGGAAGCACAGAAGTTGTCACTTTGCCCTTACACTGATTGTTCTTTCTTTATTAGCAGATAAATATTGATTACTCCTACAATAAGAATTGGAAAGGATAAATTCTGATAGGATAGAAAAAGCAACTTTCCTTGAATAGCTACTGGGAAACAAAGTGTGTAAAAGGATCTGTTTATAACCTTACTGTTGCAAGGCCTAATTAGCCATTTGGGGGAGACCTAGGTCTCTGCCAAACATCTAAAAAACTGCAGTGGGAAGGCAGGACTCGGAGGGGGAGGGCAGCAGTGCTTAATCTTTCTTCACTTTTGCTTCCCCTCTGCCTTTCCCATTGCTCTGGCCATTTATCTCCCAAAGTCATAGCAAACACACAGGGAGGTAAGGAAAGGAAGTTTAAGGGAGAAGTGACAAGTGGAAGGTTTAAACGTGCCCCCCTCCCTTAGAAGTCTCCCTTCCAAGCTGCAGCGCTTTTTTTAGATGTTCAGCACAACAGAGTCTTCTACCAAGCATTTAATGTGGTGCTATGAGTGGTTTTGTTGTTTTTAAACAGGGCTTGGGGGGGCTGCTGCTGCTTATTCCCAAAAGTAATGAGTTGGTCCTTTCCATGCCAGAAAGGGCAGCAAGGAAACATACTGCGCTAATCCTCTCTTACTGTAAAATTTAAAAACTGAAACATCATATGTTCCACAACAGTTGCTTGTAATGTAGGGTATACATTTGGGGCAGGCATATGTTTTGGGTGGGCATGTAAAATTTTCACTAACTGCACTCAACTTCCATTCCGCCTACCGATTTATGAGAAAATCTACACAAGACAGCTTTTTCAGTTCCTGGCTAGTGACGTGATGCCTGGTAAAAAAACATGCCACGAGCGTTAATCATTGCAAATGGTGATATAGCCCAGGCTAGCCAGATCTCGTCAGATCTTGGAAACTACACACGGTCAGCCTTGGCTGGTATTTGGATGGGAGACCAGCAAGGAATCCCAGGGCTGCAACACAAAGACAGGCAATGGCAAACCACCTCTGAACATCTCTTGCCTTGAAAACCTCACCAGGGGTCACCATATGTCAGATGTGACTTGATGGCAAAAAAAAAAGGCGGTGTAAAGGATTTTTTTAAAAAACAAAAACAAAACAAAACCTTTTCAATCACAATGTGCTTTCCCCCCTCCCTTCACTTGGAGCTCTGGAGTTTCCACATCCCAGGCATCAATACTGAGAGAAGCTGTAGAAGCCATTATTTTGAAGAAGAACCATAGACACATAAACATCTAGATTGTCTACATTCTTTCAGATGGTCTGGAATCAGAACTTTATGGCCAAAAGATACTAAAAGTCTCTATCTCAGGAGCTTGATGCAAATATTCTAAGTGCTGCAGGCCAAAAAGATAAAGGGAAATCATCATGGAATTCTTGAGATGGCAACCGAACACCTCCATATGTCAAACATTTGATGTCCTTCCTGAATGAAGAAATATGTCACATGAAAGCAGAAAACTTCTGAGGGTGAGCACACTGTGTAGCCTAGACAAGAATCTCTCTCTCTCTCTCTCTTCCTGTAGTTTTTCCTTTGTTAAACAAACCATCACTGTCCCTGTGACTTAACAAAATATAATGGATAAAATGAACTCATTGATTCAGGGAAATTTTATGGCATCACAACTGATTGACTGACGTCTGTCATATCCTGACATTTGTACAGTTTGTTCCATTACGCATAGTGCTGTATATAACACTGAACAAAATGTTACTTCAGGTCATCCATCCTCTTTTAGTTAGCAAGGATGAAAATGTACAAAATGAATGGAACAACCCTGGTGAATTACAAAATGAATGGAACAAACTTATCCCTGGTGAAATTAAGTTGGCTGCTCCAGGTTTGGGAAATACACTGTGACCCATGTTCAGGGAAATTTTATGGCATCACAACTGAATGACTGACGTCCGTCATATCCTGACATTTGTACAGTTTGTTCCATTACGCATGGTGCTGTATATAACACTGAACAAAATGTTACTTCAGGTCATCCATCCTCTTTTAGTTAGCAAGGATGAAAATGTACAAAATGAATGGAACAACCCTGGTGAAAATAAGTTGGCAGGTTTGGGAAATACACTGTGACCCATGTTGTTTTAGAGGTAAATGTCTTATCTTAGATGTACAATCATCTCCAACTGCATTACTTCCCAAACAGCTTTCTTTTAGAACCCAGAATAATATTTTGTGGCTTTCATCATGGTTCCAAGGTACTACCATTTGAGAAGAGAGTTCGGAAAAATATCACACAGGGAGATATCGAGCTACTTAATTTTTTACATCTAATTCATTCTGACGTATGTAAGGCTTCGGTTATTTGGAATTTCTTCTTTGATATTTAGTTGAACTTAAAGCCAGAGTGTGTGTACCAGTGCTAATTACGATTACAAATAAGCATAAATTAATATTCATTTAGTTAAAATATCACTAACTGTCCAAGTCTGTCATTTGCTCGCGTGTCATAGGGAGCACAGGTGCCTCCATGACGATCAGATCAGGATCATGTATCTAGAAAGAACAGTCCCAGAAAGACCCACAGTGAATGTTAACCTGGTTCAGAGTTGGTTTAAAGCTTACTGAATTCTAGGAGTCAGTGCACCAATTCCAAAACACATTTTTTTCTCAAGTGTGTTTTGAACGCATCATTTGTCCCATGTTGACGTTTTAGGCTGAACCTCTCCATAGTAACACAAAAGAAGCAAGGTATTTACATTGGCATTTTGTCATTTGAGCAGACTTTTTTTTTTACTAAATGCCTCCCAAAATAACCCCCTAAACTCCGACGACTCATTGTTGGATCACAAAATCTTTTTAACAATGCACATTAAAGAGACATCCTGTGGAGAACTGCTTGACATTAGAACTGTTCCTGTCCCCCTGATGTGGCTAGGAGAACCAGAGGCAACTGGTTAGTCCAGAAACAAGATGGAATGCCGGCAAAGCTGTGATTGTTTTTGTTTGTTTCGATTTTTTCATGGGAGATTCGGTTAAGGTCACTAGAATGTCATTGATTAAAAACAATAAGTAATAACCAGTTCACCTAGCTGAAAGATTAACATTCCAGCCATTGCTTGGGTTTCCCTTGTCCTTCCTTGTAGTCTGATTTCTGTGGTTGCATTCTAGGCGGTTCCAGTGGTGTCGTCCAGCATGATATGTTTAAGTGCTTCTTGGTTCCTTGTGTCAGTGGCGGTCATAAGCAGCAGCAGCTGCAGGAGGTGCGGCTCCTCGGGCAGCGGCGCTGTAATAGTACGGAGAGCCTAGAAGAGAAGACACAATATCCGGGGTGAAACACAAAGCTTCAAAGGGATTGACAAGCCACTGAAGCAATCAGAGTCAGGATCGCAGAAATGTTGACCGGACGGCCTCTGCAGTGAATTAGTTAAGACTTCAGCAACAAGATGAGATCTATGTACCCATGTATCTAAAAGATTAACGGCTTCGTCCTAAGCAGATTTATACTTTTGTAAGATCCATTGACTCAGACCTGGATGGCCCAATCTTGTCAGATCACAGAAGCTAAGCAGGGTCGGCCCTGGCTAGTGTTTGGGTGGGAGACATCCATGTAGGGTTGCCAAGTCCATCTTCGCAGGCAATGGCAAACCACCTCTACTCATCTCTTGCTTTGCAAACTCTGCAGGGTCACCATGTCAGTGCAGCTCAACAGCACTTTATTCACACAAGGTCCATTACACATGTGATTCGGTCTAGAGTAAGCCAGTTGGTACACTGCTCCAGAAACACCCATAGAATACATCATCCATTGACTGTCAGAAACTGTCTATAACTCAAGTGGTATATCAATAAGCTGTCCATCCCTAGACCAGCTTGAGTAATTACCAAGCAAAAGTGGGCTGAAGGCTGTGGCATGAGTGAACCCAGAAGGTTCACCTTTCCAGATTCACTTGTCCCGTGGCTTGCAAAATGCATTTGAAGTTGTGTGCAGATTGGCTTTGGGGGGGAGGTTCTAGGGTCGGTCCAATGTGCAAAAGGGGAGGGAGTGTGTCAAATGGACCCCTGAAAGCTGGAGGCATCAAACTGGCAGTGGACCTCCCCAGGATGCCCCTCTATCTGCCCTCCAAGTAGTGTGCAGATTGGCTTGGGGGGAGGGGAGATACAGGAGATCTCTGGGGAAGAGCTGACAGTTAATATGGAAGTGTTTTAAGTATTTTATCTGTTTTGTCTTGTCAGCACATCCTCCCCACTAGCGTCTTTCAACTGGGCAGCCCAGCAGAGCCTGGGGGGAGAGTTTTCCCTGCAGGATCAGCTCCTTTGCAGGCTCTTTTGGGCAGTCTGGTTTGAACCAGGCCGCCCAGTAGAGCACCGGGTGAGGCTGTGGCAAGGAAGGATCTGCTGGGGTGGCACAGAGCTGTCAGCTCCCACCATCCTGGCTGATCTTGGGCTGGCTCCTTTTGCAGCTTGGTTTCCCTGGCTGATCTTGGGCTGGCAAGAGGAACCAGCCAGCCAGCCCCGACCGAGGTGGAGTGGAGCTGTGAGCTCTGCCACCCCAGCTGATCCTCTCTTGCAGTTCTGGCTGTCAGCTTCATGCCACTTCGGCTGAGGTTGGCTCGCCCGAATAAAAGCCCACCCAAATGGCTTTTTTCTGGCTGAGCCATATCAGTAGCCAAACACAGATCTCTGATCCGTATTTGGCTTAATAAATACCCCAAAATACTGATGTTCTACATTCAGGTATTTATTTGTTTCGGTTTATACCAAATGCACACCTCTAGTTACACTCTCCTAAGCACATTGGTCCAATCTGCATTGGTCTTTCCTGCCACTGTGCCGGCAGTCCCAAGTCGTCTCACAAATCTCTGCATTGCTTGCCGCAGCCATTCCGTATTGTATTGACTCAGCATCGGCTGTCTGCATCATTTTATTGCCCTGTAGTGACGACTCCGAGGTCTCTATGGCGTCTCACCGGCTTATGTGGATCTGGTTTTCAGCCAGAGCAATTGTTCCTCCCTGCCCCTGAGCTGCTGTGAGCAATAAGCAGACAACTGGAGCCAAATCATCCCCCCCCTCCAGTTTTTCTCCAATCAAGTTTCTTTGCTGGTGAGTTAGAAGCATGCCCGCCAGAACACCTTGTCTGGCAACCGCTAGGTGTTTTGTGGGAGCCAAATCATCCCCCCCCCTCCAGTTTTTCTCCGATCAAGTTTCTTTGCTGGTGAGTTAGAAGCATGCCACCCCTGAACCATGTTATTTCCTGGAGCAGTCCCCAGAATGCCTTGTCTGGCAACCGCTAGATGTTTTGTGTTTTTTACTCAGGTCATTCACTTTCCAGCCCCCCTCTGCCTCCTACTCAGGTCATTCACTTTCCATCCCCCCTCTGCCAGGTCACCCCCCTTTACTTTCTGCTGGGGGGTTGCGGGTGCCATTTCCTCCCCGCGGCATTTCCTCCACGGGAGGCTGCTCCTCCCCTCTCTCGCACACGGTCTCCCTCCCGCATGCCTCCGTGGCCGCCAAGGTGAGGTCTGATGCTGACAGCAAGCTTTTATCCCAAGCCAGAATGGGAGACAAAGGGGAACAATGGACAATGGCACCACAACAGACGACAATGGCACCACACAGCAGATGCAGATTCAGCCATTGACCTCAATGTATTTAGAAAGGTGTAACTCTGACTGGGATGGCACTGTGAGGCTGTAGGAAGGCTTCGAACTCTGCTCAGTGTAGTGGTAGGATACATGCCAATATCCAGTTGTTGCAGACAGAGATGTGAATCCTGCCTCTGTTTTAAAAGATGCACCCAGTCAGCTCAGTGGGGTTCAGATATGCCTCATGATACACACTTACATATGCACTGGCTGCATAGCTACAAGTCGTCTTCTGCACACAGGGCTTCCTTACTGGATTCGGTTACTTGTGTTTGATACTAGGTCATGCATATGACAGATAAATATGGATTCAGCTTTAAAATATTAGACGTTTGCTCCTTCATGTTTTAATTAAAGTTAAATTTCATTTCAACCATGCTTTTTCAAAGTTTGCCACAGTTCACATTAAAAATACCCTTCAAAATCAATGCATGTAATTTGAAATCATAGTTTTAAATATATCATTGATTTTTATCCAGCCTGCTACCCGCCCATTTAATTGAACAATAAACAGGCTGGAATGAGGTACTGTTGGAGGAAGATACAGAGCTCTGGTTATGAGAAGAGAAAAGGGGAAGGTGAGGAGGGCAAGAGTTTAAAACTAGGATATGCACATTGTGCTTTCGAGAACTTCCCTGGTAGCAGCACTCCTTGTGTTCCCCGAGAAGGTTGCTTGTGAAGAGGCACTTGGAGGTTACAAAAATGACTCAGGGAAAAGGCTTCAACTGGAAGAAGAGGTGCACAGCTTCCAAAACACATATGCATTTAAATGTAAGACCTGAGTCTTCTCATTCTTTACCAGTTTCTGCAATGTATTTTGAACACTGTGTTGGAACTGCTGTGCAATATGCTCTCATTACTAATGGTGTAATTTTAGCAAAACCAAGGGACATATAATCATTTCCTCCCTAGCTTCAGAATTGCCTTTAAAAATGGAAAATCTGAAACCATATCTCTTGCAGAAACAATTGGGTTGGCAGGCCTTAGTTCTGAGCTTGTCATAAAGATGAACTATAAGCTCATCCAAGCCACAATAGTTCATCAGTCCATTCAAAATCGATGTCCAGGTGCCTTGACCTGGATAGCTCAGGCAAGCCTAATCTCATCAGATCTTGGAAGCAAAGCAGGGCCGACCCTGGCAAGTATTTGCATGAGAGAATTCCAAAGAATACCAGGGCCGGGAGGCAGGGGCAGGCTATCAAGCCACTTCTCTGAATGTCCTCCATGCCACAGTAGGCATCACCAGAGGTCACCATGACTTCCAGGCACAGGCACAAAAGCACACACACACAAAATGCAAAAACACCCCAGAAAAGTTCAATGTCCAGGTAAACACCACTAGAGTATAGATTTCTGGAGGGGGATGGAAATACCTGATGCAAAGCCTGCCCAGAATTTCCAGGAATTTTGTTGAATAATCACCAGAGACAACCAGGCTATGGACTAGCCAACAAGTATCTGATGGGTCTGTGAAGAAGCTCTATCCTTTTCCCTTTGCCCCTTTTCATTCTGTACCCCCCTTAAATTGTAAAATAAAAAAATATTTTTAAAGGGGGGGGAGAAGCACCATCTAGGCAGAATGTTGAAACAAGGAACTCATTCTGGTCAGCAATGGTCAAGTTTCTTTCCAATGGAGAAAACAGTGGCTAGACACTATATATTTTAAAGAGTCCCTACACAGTAGCTGCAAGGAATGTCTCTTCTAAAATATGGGGGGGCTGATTTGGCTCAGAACTGTGGCACGGGAGGAGGGAGGGGCACGGCAAAATGGTGCAGGGGAAGGAAGGAGCCACTCCTTCCCCTGTACTGCAGTTCCAAGACAAATTAGCCTCTTCCTCCTTTTGAAACAGGCATTCCCCAGAGCTGCCCTGTAGCTGAAGGTACAGACTCTTGAAAACATTAACGTCTCATTTGACCCTGAGAAAGCTTGACTGGAGTACTTCTCCCTGGCATCCTAACTTTCCACATGCAGGGAGCTTTTGTTGTGGAAGAACATGTCATCCGCCAGCTGAGGGCGATTCTGCCTTGGCTTTTCCCACCATTGTTTAACCAAACCCACCTCGGAACAGAAATTCCCCTCTGCATTGCATACTGGGTTCACTTCTTTTGATGACTGGGTTTTCATGGTACCCTCTGCATAGATTTATGGCTGTTCAAGGGTGACTTCACAGTCAGTATGGCATTGCCCCGGGGCAGAGGTTGATTCGGGGGGGATCGCGGGGGATCGCAGTTCCCCCGGGTGAGGTGCGGGGGAGGGGCACACGACGAAGCCCCGCCCCTTCTTCCGGCCGCCCCCTGCTTCCAGCCTCATTCTGTTGCAGAGGGAGGAAGAAGCAGGAGGGTAAGTTGGCGTCCTCCCCCTCTGCCTGGCCGAGGCCACTCTATGTGGCCTTCGCAAGGACTCCCAGCCCCATCCAGGAGCTTCCCCGAGCTAGCTGTGTTAGTCTGTTGCTGCAAAATAGTCCAAGAGTTCAAATAGCACCTTTAAGACTAACAAATAGCACCTTTAAGACTAAGACTAACTGAGTGGTGGGTGTGGTCTTATGACACACTTCCGGTGATGGCAGGGGGTGTGGCATATGCTAATGAGTTATGCTAATGAGTTCCCCTAGCTCTTTTTCTACGAAACGACCCCTGCCCCGGGGTATTTCAATGTGGCT